CGGCGGCTCGGCGCGGCCCGACGTGAAGCGGAGCGGTTCCCACAGGCATGTCGTCCGTCAAGGTCGAGTGCGTTACCAGCGAGGGCTGCAGGATCGGGGAGTCGCCCGTCTGGGACGAGAAGGAGAGCGCGCTCCTCTATGTGGACATCTCGGGAAGGAAGGTGTGCCGGTGGAGCTCCCTCACCCAGCAAGTGCAGGACGTCTCCGTGGGTAAGGAACAGCTCCAAAAGCCCTCTGCCGAACGCTGGGAGTTGTGCGCTCTCGCTGGGCGCTGCCTCCCTGCCGAACCCGGGCAGGGCTCCTGCAGGTGATGCTGGAGGGTACTCATCCATCCTGCTGCTGCAGGGAGACCTCCCCCTAAACCCTGACTTTCTCAGGCCAGAGAGGCCACTGAGGTTTGTGCTGCATGCAGAAATTGCATACAGTGACTGACCAGGCCTTCCTTAGGATTTTGTACTACTTCATTACACTTGCTCTGCTTCTCTTCCCTGTACATTGTGCACAGCTTGCTCTCTTCTGCTGCCTCTTTGTCACAGAGGTGTCACCAAGACTCTCCTCTGATACTGATGTCTATGGAAGTTTTGCTGCCGATCGCAATGAGCAGTTCCTGTAATGTTATTAGAAAAAAAAAAAATCACCTAACTATGTAGGAAGATGATACTTTTTAAAGGTAACAGTGTTACCAGCTAGAGTCTGGATAGTTTAACTATTCCAGAAAGGAAGAGACGTGCTGACTCTCATAAGGAGTTGCAGATTTACTCCTGGATGTGGTAATGTAAACGTTTGTCTGAAGGGACAAATGGTTTAGGTACTTGGATTAATTGCTTTCTCATGTTCAGTAACACTTGGTGAAAATCACTTTCTTCTGCCTGCCCGTAAGCTGTTCACATTATTCACGATAAATTGATCTGGACTTTCCAATTATTGTAGTTGCCCGTTTTCACATGAGAAAAGGCCTGAAACAATTTTGGAAACATTGCTTCCCAAACTTACTTGCTCTTACCTTAGCTGAGGGAGTGTGCTTCCCCCTGCTTCCTCCCATCCAACTCAAAGGTGTATTCTTGAAGGATCTTCTACATGTGGCCTCTCTGGAGATGTAGAAGGGATAGTAGCTGAAGTAGCTACTCTTTTTTTCTTATTTTTTCCCTCCCTTTTTGCTTCCATTTCCTGTGTTTAGTAATAAATTGTTATAAGTCACAGCTGTGCCTTTGGGAATACCGTAATTAAAACACACAAAAAAACCTCCAAATAGCCAAATAGTGCCATGTAATTAACATAGCAGGTTGATGTCCAAAGTGGAAACTGAGAGAGAAATTATTAATTACTGAAGCTTATACAGAATTACATCCCCACACTCAGCCACAACTTGAAATGCCCTTTCCAGCTCTGCAGGGAAAACACCACTATATGTGTAACCGTGCCCGGGGCAGGGAGGACTTAGGGTCAGTTTTCTGTTTGGCATAAAAAGGCACTGCAGATTAACCAGTTCCTGTGGATGCTGCTAATGAAGGGCTCCAGGGGGGGCTGTGGGCTGAGCTGGGTATGAGGGGCAATGGGCTCACTTGTGCTGCATTTGTTCAGGGAACAGTAGGGTGGCTGTGACCTTCTTGCTAGCCACACTGAGGGCAAAGCCCATCTGTTGGTGCAGACAAAACAGCACTTTTATTGGTGTGGTTCCTGGCAATCAGTCAGAGGAGCAGCAAAAATAAACCTTTGGTGGCTGCATGAAAGGCTGAGGGGACTCTGCCGACCTCTACACAGGAAGGAGATGTGGCACCCACTCACCCAGCATAGATAAGCCCAGGCCAGGTCATGTGCCTCAAGGTGAAGGAGTTGCTAGAGTTGAGCTCACAACCAACCCAGTGTGCAGCTTGGGTACTGGGGACAAAAAGCAGTCAGATTTCTGGCATGGTGATACCACTGCTGGGGCTTCAAAGGGAAAGGGGCACCCTGAGCTAAGAACAAGTAGCCAGAAAGGAGCAGCTCCTCTTGGCAACAGTGGTGGTTGTTATAAGTGTTTGTGGAACTATTACCTAATTATACCTCTGCAAAACTGTAAATACAAGGAATGTTGTATTTTTAAATTAGAAACTTGGTGATTAGCCCCTTGCCTATTAAATATTATCCCAGACTTTATTGCCCCGTCTAAAGTTATTATTCCTTACATTGTATCTGTTTGTAGGCTTTTACAGAAATGTCTACACATTGATTTCTCAGGGTTTTTTTTTTACTAATTCCTTTATAATAGCCTGCAATTGAGGTTTTATTGCGTAACAGCTCACATGAGTGTCAACTAACTGTGGAGCATTTACTAATTTTCTCTTTTGCTTTAACTCTTGGAAAGCTCTTCCACTCCTTGGTCTGCTTTGGGTGCTGCTGGAGGTATGTCTGAACTGTAGGGCAGAGTGTGGTGCAGGGGGGTGGCTTCTCCTGGTCAGCCTGACCTGTCCCTGTCCAGGGCAGAGATACTCCCCATGAGTTACATTGAACAGCCGTGTAGGGCTGATTTACCCAGGAGCTAAGCAAACAATTGCTCCAGAGCTCTTGTGGCAATCAATTATGGCGGGGGGGGGACACACGGCACCCACACAGTAACCTGTTTTTAAAAGTATATATGTCTATATCTGTCACGCTTTTTATGTGTGGTTGGTTGGTTTGGTTTGGTTTTTCAAGTACCTAGCAGAACAAGGTTCTGGCAATGGTTATTGCTCCTGGGAGTGGTTCCTTGAGTTTTATGTCCCAAACTGGTGATTCCCCTTGTAGCAACTTTCTGTGTGCCTTAAGTACACCCTCTTCATGTTGCAGAATCTTTCTGGGTATTTAAATGTCAGTTTTGTTGGTAGTAAAAGAGATTGTTTCTCCTCTGCGTGGTGTCACTGAGTCCAGTGTGACTGCTTGCATGTCTGAAGTGGGCAGAAAATTAATGTCTCTCCATAGCACATACCTCTTTCCATTTTGCCCTTTTTCTAGATGCTCCTGTGAGCTCTGTGGCTCTCCGGAGATCTGGGGATTATGTCATCACCCTCGGAACCAGGTTTGCTGCTTTGAAATGGAAAGAGCAGCTGATAACCACCATTGCTCACGTGGACAAGGATAAAGCAAACAACCGATTCAACGATGGGAAAGTGGATCCTGCAGGAAGGTATTTTGCAGGTATGCTGCGGGTGGTTCCTTCCTTCTGCTGCTCCAGTAGGTTTTGGTGACAAGATGCAGTGAACACTTGTAGATGCAGCAAGTTCACAGTTAGATGGTGAGGGTTGTTTGTTGTTGTTTTCAAGCAGAGTTTAATCCCATTTACAAGTCTCTTTGTAAACCTACACACCATCTAATCAGGACTGGTTTTTAAGAAAGAGGCCCACCATTCAGAGCCTGCCTAGCTGGAGACACTGGCCTTGCCTCCTCCCTGTTTGTATGCTTGGTTTGCATACTGGCTGAGAGTGACAACGGAAAATACTTTTCCAGTGATAAATTTATGATATTGTGGGGTTTGTTCTTCATAATCAGAACTGATAGATGGCATTTCTAAAAACTTTGTGGCTGTTCAACCTGAAGAAGAGAAGGCTCAGGGGATCTTATCCGTGTGTGTAAGTACCTGATAGGAGAGGAGCAAAGAGGGCAGAGCCAGGCTCTGCTCACTGCTGCCCAGTGGCAGGACCAAAGGCAATGAGCACAAACTGAAATTCAGGAAGTTCTGTTTACACACAAGAAAGCTCTTTTACTGAGGACAATCAAATAGTGGACCAGGTTGTCCAGAAAGGCTGTGGAGTTTTCATCCATGGAGATCTTCAAGCACAACAGTGCCCTGAGTAGCATGCGGTAGCTGAGCAGGGGCTGGCCCTGGCTGATCTCCAGAAGTGCCCTTCAGCCTCAGCCGCCCTGTGATCCTGTCCTGGATTTTAAAACACCATTCTGTGTATCTGCCCTGTAGCTGGGTCCCCAGGGTTACCTCAGTGGGTTTTTACCCAGCCTCTCAAGAGCCAGTCTCAGCTGCCAACTTCAAGACACAATGATGAGATTTGTTTGTGAAGAGGCCTTGGTAAGACTCATTCTGAGGGAGGTGGAAATTTTTTCCCAGTGTCTCTGCTATAGAAGATGACAACATTTGTGGGAAGTTAAATGCTGACCACGCCTTTCTTAATATTTGAATGACTGAATGAAATGTTTTGCAGAAATCGTGCTGCACACCATTTCTGCTACAGTTCAACAAAACCCCAGAGGCTCTCTTTTGTCATCTTCTGCTAAAGCAAGAGCTTTTGAAACGTGCCTTTTGCCTTTAACTAAGGTTCTTCCCTAAATTTCTGAAGCCCCCATGGTGCTCCCATCTACATTGGCAGCGTGGCCATCATCATAGCGAGGGGCTGCCACCAAACCTGGGGAGAGCCCATTCTCTCTGAACCTGCTTTCTCCCCTTTGGTTCTGCACAGGTACGATGGCTGAGGAGATTCGACCTGCTGTCCTGGAGAGACACCAGGGCTCTCTGTACACACTCTTCTCTGACCTCTCAGTAGTGAAGCAGTTTGATCAGGTGGACATTTCTAATGGGCTAGACTGGTCACTGGATCATAAAACCTTCTTTTACATTGACAGCTTGTCCTACTCTGTGGATGCCTTTGATTATGATCTCCAAACTGGAAAAATTGGTATGAATTTTTGTATTCTAAAGTAATTATTTGTGCCTAAGGACTGTGATGTTTGTTTCCATTGTGGTTATTATGCAGAAGCGATCAGAGCTTTGGGAGTGTTTCTTCAGAAACCTCTTTAGAACAGAACAACAGAAGCTATATTAGCACCCATCTGCGCCTGTGTAGGCTCCTGGATCAAGCTAGCCAGATGCTGCTGGTACCATTATAAAGTTTTTAAACTCCATGGCAGAGTTTGAGTGGTAATCTGGTTTTCTGTTACAACACGTAACCGATCTTCCTGTGTAAAAAGGGCAGAATGTTTCTGGTACAGCTGGGTTTCTGTGCCTGCCTGCCTCGCTGACAGCATAGGCACAGTAGCAGAAGGCTTGTACTCATGCAAAACCTCTGCTAGCTTCTCTAGGATTCTACTTATTTATTTATTTACTAAAATGCAAGCTCTTAAATGAAGGTTCTGCAGACTGAGCTCAGCAGCAACTGGAAAGCAGTAACTCAAAACTTGCCATTTGTTTAAAGCAAGCAACCCCTTAAGGGCTTCTACAAGCTTGGGCAAAAGAAAAATCCCAGTGGCTTGGACTAATCATTTGCTTTTGAGTACATGGATCGCAGTGTTTTGCTTTAGAAGAACCCAGCCGATTTGATATTTGGCTTTAAAACTGTGAATTTGAAGTCATTTTAGGTGTAGCATCTTGTATGGCTTACAGCTGAATTTTTCTGTAGCAGTAGGGTGGTTCTCTCTCTCACCCATGCTGTCTTTCTGTGGGCACTCTGACAACCCCCAGGAGCACAAAAGAAACTCATTAAAAATATTGCTACATATGAGAAACATTGAAGTTGTCGGAGCATAAAATAAACAATGTTGGAAAGTTGGTTTTAATTTTCTTTAATAACAGTGGATAGAAGTTCAGATAGAGTTGTTTGAGTTTAGGTTGACAGTGTGCCTTTGAAGTTGAAGCTTTTCCTAACTCTGTGTTTATATAAACTCTCAGTTCATATATCTGAAGGTCAGTTTTTTGTTGGAACAGTGATTATTGGCACGTTCCAGCAATCTCTTTGAAAAGTCTCCAGTTCTCTGACTGGAAGCAACTCATCCTTGAAATGATCCAAACTGCTTTTAGAACAAGTAATTAATTTTCTGAATATAAAGATCATTAATTTATTCAGTTCTTTAATACTGTAAGTAGGGAGCACGAGTGGTGTGCTAGAAAAGAACACCAGAAAAGAAGGTGATACTTGCAGTGGATAGAAACTGATCCACAGGCTTTTGTGCTGAGAAGCAATTGTCTTGGGAAGCAAACAGGGCAGCAGGCATGATTTATTTCTTTGATATGAAAAAAACTCAGGGCCTCAGCACAGCTTTCAAAAATAACTGTACAAATAACTCTGCTGGGCTGTGACTGATAAAAATTTTAACACCTGTCTCACTCAGTTTTGTTGTGGTTTTTCTACCCTGCAGGCAACCGTAGGAGTATATACAAACTGGAAAAAGAGGAAAGCATTCCTGATGGGATGTGCATTGACACAGAAGGCAAACTCTGGGTAGCTTGTTACGATGGTGGGAGAGTCATTCGTCTTGACCCTGAGACAGGTAAGTCCTTGCAAAGAGTGGACTGGAATTCTGTCTTTTAAAAAAAAAAAAAGAAACTAAAGCAAAGAAAGAGAGATGGTTTGTTCCCATCATAGAAGTGGTATGTCTGCTCTTTTTAAAACACTTTAAAAGAAACAAACCAAACCAACAAAGCAAACCACCTGTATGTCCCTGCTCTGGAAAGTTAGCTTTGTAAATAAGTCTCCTTTGTTCCCAGCCTCTGTTGTGGTGGAAGAGGTAAAACAGTAGAGGAGATTACCATTGTACTTGTGGGTTGTTTGAGTTAGCATCCTCTTGCATCCTCCAAACTGAAGACCAGCATTTACCTCATTGATAAACGATGCAGAAGAAAACGAATAAGCTGCGAAATAACAAAGACTGCTTAAGCTATTTCTTTGGTCTTCTTTCTTCAGCTTAGTGTATTATTCCGGGCAGCCTACTGAGGTTAATACAAATCCCACGAGGTACTGATGCCAGCAACAATTTTTTTATTGTTGAAAATTATTTAAGTGATACATTTTGCAGCTGAAGCAATAAAAAATATTTAGTGAATTCCACAGCATTGTATCATTCCCCCAGTAATGTCTTGGGCGTGCCCATTGACTGAGCTTGTCATTCACTGCTGCTCTCATTTGGACTTTGGTGGTCTGCCAGGCATGATTTAGTCTGGGTAAAAAACACATGTACAGCACTTGAGGGAGACTGAACCACACTGCCTGCAAGGGGCCAGCGGGTGAGAATGGGCATGTGATTTTGACAGATGCCAGACAGCACAGGTTTGCATTATGCAGCTTAGGAGCAACTGCACTGGAGTCTCTTGAACCCAGGTCTAGCTCTAAAAGAAGTCTCAGGGTTTCGTGGGGCATGCCAACGTCCCCTGACTTGTGCCTCCTCTGCAGTGCTCAGCAGACCCTGGTATACACTTGCACCAGATGGGCCTGGCTGCAGCCTCCTTTGGCTCGGCTGGAGCCTCTTACTTGAGGCTCAGACTGTGCTTTCCCCTTCGCTTTTTGATTTGCACCCATCCGAGATGTTACCAACTTGTGGGACTTCATCCTGACCTGTAGAGTCTGCACCCCAACCTGAAGAGGAGGAAGGTCCAGCTATGGAACCTGTTTCTGGTCTTACATATTCCTCCTTTGGTGGGCAGAGTACTCCTTGGTGATCTCTGCCAGCTCTTTGACTACCCTCCTGGAGCAGAGGACTCTACCATTTTTTGTTTCTGTTTCATTCTTTCTACCTTTTTCCTCCCTGGCCATCACCTTCTTCCTTGTCTTGCTTGTTTTCCCTTTCCTTGGAGGTGCTTTCCTAAAGGAAAGCTAAAGGGAATGTGTCCATAAGCAGCTGCACAGGGAGACTAGAAGTATTGGCAGCAGAGTACATATCCTTAATGCACTCCTGGTCTCTAACCGTGCTCAGATCAGGGTCTTTCAGAGCGGGATGTGATTTTGATATACCAGTAGGTGCCAGCGGATTGCTCTCCCATGAAGCTGTCCTTGCCCATGTAAAACGCCCAGCACCCAGAGGGAACAGTAGCAAGAAGTTTGGCAGGTGAAATGTCCACATCGGGAAGAGCCACTTTCTTGGTGAATATCTCGTGCTTATCTGCCCCCTCTGTGCTGCCATTTTAAGGTCATATCTAAAATCTGCAGTTTGCTGAATTCTAAATGAGTTGCAACTGCTTAGGGAAGATAACCCAGACAGGCTTGAAAAGAACTCCTTGAAAGCCTCTTTTTTAATGCACAATAGCTATTAAGCCTGGCTTGGATGCCTGTCTCGGCAGTCACAGATACATCCACAGATAAAGAGCACATGAGGGTTTTTCAGGTTTCTCTGAGGGCAAGGTTTGGACTCTATTTTTAGGGGGATGGGCAGGGAAACTTGTTTGTTTGGCATCTTTTCTAAGTGAAGGTTTTGGGGTTCAGGCTGAAGCAGCTTTTCTGGTTTAGTCTTCTTTATCCTAGGTATCTGCTGCCTTTAGGTTCAGAATGTGCTACAGGGAAAGGCTGGGATGACTGATCCCATGGGATTTGCAGAGGGCTCGAAAGGGATGCCTACCTTGTACACTGTCAAGTCTTGTCATACCTTTTGATCATTTAGTGACCTGCTTGCTTTGTGCAATCATTTCTCTTAATTAGGAATGAAATATTTTACAGGTTTTCCTAATTAATGTATTTTAATATCCTTTGATTGTATCGAGATTTGTTTAAGATTTGTTAAGTTTCTTCTGTAGACACCAGGCATAGATAAATACTTCAGGTAGATTTTAGAGCATCCAGGTGCAGATTTTCTTGCAGCTCCAGAACTACATTGCTCATCTCAGAGCTTTGTAAACAACATCTTCTAGACTGTTTTCTGCTGAAACCACTCTGCAAGTACAATCAGGGTCTCTCCCCTTGTCTTTGAGGCTCATGCCTCTTCTACAGTGCATTTTTTTCTCTTTGAAAACCCTTCCCACTCATTTTCTCTCAGACTTAGTGCCATCCAATTTCTAGGTTGGCCTCTGGAGCATTTTATAAGCCACCATGTAACTCATGTAGTCATGTAATACTTCCACTGCCAGCTGGCTGGATAACAACAAAATGTTGCTAGAGCAAGCTGGCAGGAATGTTCAGACTCATAGTGGCCTGTGTTGCTCCCAGACAACAGACAGGATTTCTTCTATTACAATTTTCTAGATATTTTGAAAAATCTGTTCTTCTCAGGGAAAACAGCTAACCAGACATGCAGATAATCTCTGACAGTCTAAACACTGTTACACTGGGTTTGTGTGGATTTTATTTTATTTTATTTTATTTTGAATTTGGTTTTTACTTTAGGCATTGTGGGTCAAAATATGTGCCAAATAAGCTTACTATACAGCATCAGGAGTCCTGGAGTGCTCAACTTTCCAGGCTGTTGCTTATAAGAGGCTCTTCCACAACTGCTCTCTTGCTATTTTCTTTTATTTGTTTGGGGGTTAAAAGAAGATTTAAAAGTATCCAGGCCTTGTGTCAGGGCTGTTGGTGAAGCAAAGAGTTGCTCTCATCCCTTTCAATCCTATATTCTGGATGTTCTAGTTGCATCCATACTAGCAAGTAAAATGAATTTGGCAATGTCCTTCAGTCCTGCACCTTATGGCCTATCATAGCTTATTTTGCACAGTCAGGCTGTATTTCAGCACCAAAAGAGGGCTCAGACTGCCCCTGTGGAGCAGCACACCCAACTAGGTAGGCCAAGATTGTGCCAAGGCTGTACCAACAGCTTAATAATGTGGCCCTGCTCATGACTCCAACGTGCTTATGACTCGCGTAGTGCTGTGGTACAGGTGAAGCCATTTGCTTGGTGCTTTTGTCAGTTCATTGCAGTGCTGCTACATCATTGCAAGGGAACAAGGCACAGCTTGTGGGGTGAGGCAAAATGTTTTGCCCCTGCTTGTTGTAGGGGGGTTGGACTAGATGGCCTTTAGGGGTCCCTTCCAACCCTGTACATTCTATGATTCTATGAAGACACGTTTGCTTGATAAACACCTCCTTGGAAACAGTGCCCCATTCTGAAGTGGACCAAAACCTCATAGGTGTTAAGTGGGCCAAACTTTCCACTTTTTCTTCCTCCTTGTAGGGTTCCCAACATCAAAATTACTCTCTTGCTATTTCAGAACGTCACTAAGCAGTTAGTTACTGTAAGGGGACCAAGCCCTTCTCACGTGCAATGAGGAGGCCAGGGAAATTACACATTTTGTAAGGAAATTCACGTGCTTTAGCTTATTTCTAGAAAGAGAAATTCAATTGTAAGTAAATTAAATAGACATGATGAGTGTAAGCACTTACTACCCAGTCAGGAGGAATTTTAGGAAAATCTGCTGTAAGGTGTCTCGACAGCCTTCTGGTTAAGGCTGGAGGCAGTCTGTTCACTGCTGTAATTAGGACAGTAGCTTTTTGTTGCTATAATAAATGCCTAATATTATTTACGGTAGGGCTAGTTTCTTGTAAGCTTCAGGTACATCCCATGATCCCTATTTTATGCAAGCTTGATTTGGAAGGCTACTGAAATTTCAGGAAAAACTTCTAGGAATTAATCTTCCTTGACTGCAGGCAGTGGAGGTGTAGCATGAGGTACAGCTCGGTGGAGCTGCGTGAGGTCTGCCCGCTCCAGGCTCCCTGTGTAGTTAAAAGCAGAAAAGTCAGCACGTCTAGGGCATGATTCATGTGACCTATTTTGGGGAGGAATTATATCCCATTCCCATTGACTGCATGGGCAGCCTAGATAATGAGCTCAGATACAGACGTCCATGCTGTGGATGTTAGCATTTAATTAGAGGACAGGCTGGGTTTGGGGGTGGGATTTGTTTGTCACAGCCGAGACTGAAACTTGTCAAAAGATACATGGTCAACAACAGGATTTTCAGAAGTCTGATTTCTCCCTGCCACGGTGCTTATTAGCGTGCTGAAACTCGGCGGGGGACCTCCCCCTGCCCTGGTCCCTGCCCTTGTGGAACACCTGGCTCCACCTCAGTCATTCACAAGGATTTGTTGAAATTTCGTCTCATAAACAGACAAACAGGAAATGGTATACATGTTTTTCTCCAGGAAAAAGGCTCCAGACTGTGAAACTCCCTGTTGACAAGACAACTTCCTGCTGTTTTGGAGGGAAGGATTATTCAGAAATGTTTGTGACCTCTGCCAGTGACGGGATGGACAAAGAGTGGCTTTCACGGCAGCCGCAGGCTGGCAGGATTTTCAAGGTGAATGATGCTTTCTCTTGTCAGTTTAGAAGACCATTTTTTCCCTCCTGCATTTTTCAAGTAGCAAACCAGGTGGAGTGGTGGGAAGCAGGAAAAGAGTTGTTGTTACAACATCAAATGTGTATCTTAAGCTGTTGTTTGTATTTTTGGTTCCTGTTGCCAGATGAGAAATTTTAATGTATTTAGAGATTTGAAAATACTTTGGGGTTTAAAATTTGTAACAATGCTGATACTGCAAATTTTCTAAGCCGTTACCTCTTTCTACTTCTCTCCCTCCCAACACAGTTTGAATTTTCTATTTATTATGGAAAGAATATGCAAATACTTCTGTGTCTTAATCAACAGCAGATAAAAGCATCTGCTTTTATTTACTTTCTAGTTAGTTATAACAAAGTTATCTCAGTGGGGTTTGTTTTAAAGCTCTGCTCTTCTGTGTGTGTGTGCATACCAAAGGTTATGCTGTGAACTGCAGAATTAGGTGGAGTAGTGTCTGAGAAGAAGCTTTTGGGGACCTGACTCTGGTCTGTGATTACTGAGCTTTACAGAAAGAGGTTGGAGTTCCTGCTGTGTGCAAAATAAAGGAGGATGTCCAGCTGGAGGACAGAGTCCTTGCTGAATTATAGCATGTCTAGTTTTGAAAGAAAAGCAAGTGTCTGGTAGTGTTGAATTATTGGACTAATCTTTTGGTTTTTCTCTCTCTTTTAATAGATAACAGGGCTGGGAGTGAAAGGAGTCCCACCATATCCATTTGCAGGTTAAATAAACACTCTTCAGAATGGATTAGAGAGGACTGACATAAGCAAGACAAGTCAGAAGGTCTTATTCTGATGTTCAGCATCTTTTGCTTGAAAACCATAACACAATTACCTCATCAGGAAAGGATGAAAAACTGCTGAAATACATGGAATATTTTAAAATGGATGCTTCTTTGCCTCTTCAAATTCTATTACTTTAAATACATGATGGTGCTTTTTCTGTTGTGCTAAAGAGATTCTTGCCCTAATAAACTACTGAATATTGTAATTTTCTTCTATTATTAAATAATGTTTTAATATATTTTTATTGTTTTTACTCCGGTCTCACTTGCAACTTCTGCTGTATTGATTTATTGATGAAACTATTTGCAGTGTCTCTTGCATGTTTTCAAAATTCCTCATAAAATATCCATTTACTGCTGCATTAACAGGAACTTCCTTTGTCCCATGATGTTATCAACAACTGAAACATTAATACCTATTACTGTGCATCTGCAGCCTCATTTGTACATTACATTTTTAAGGCCTCAGCTGTGGTTGTGCTTAAATTAACTCTGATCGACTGGAGCTGTTCATCATCTCTCTCCCCAGTGCACGTCACTATGTTGCTCATTTTATTAAATACAAACCCCAGACTTTGGGGATCAAGAACCATATCTTTGTCTGTCCTCTAAAAATCTCAGCCTGTTCTGGGGAGATCCATGATAACAAGAAAGTGTCAGACATTCTTGGCCATTTGTGCTTAAAAGAAACTGTGACCTGCATGTACCTCCTGCTGAGCCAAACTCCCCAGAGAGGCCAGAGGGCCCCACGTGCCCCGATGGCCACCGCTTCTATGAATGTGCAGGAAAGCAAAGTTTTATTGCAATTTTTTCATGGCACCTGTTGCAAATAGCAAACTTATTCACTGGATTGCTTTTTTGCTGGTAACTTCAGGCCTGCATGTGCTGAAATAACTGCTGTGGCTCAGCTGCTTTTTAAACAGCAGAGTTTGCTCTTGGCAAGTTGCGTTTTTCCCCCTGTTTGTGCACTTCCATGGGCAGGTGGAATAGCTCTTGTCCTTGTCCTGCTGTGTGAGGGTAACCCACCAACAGGCAAGAGAGCCAGTGGCCACGTGTTTTCTCTGCAGGAGCTCCAAGAATCCATCACGGTTTCCCAGTGCATCTCTGCAAGCCTGTTGTAGTTAGTTCCTGCTGGATCTGCTCGTGTCTGCTATGCCCACCCAATGTGCAGCTGGGCAACTCGCCCAGCCCCTGGATCACACCAAGGCCTCAGGGCTACTTTGAACCGAGGGTCCAAAGGTGACTTTGTGCAAGTCATCATTTTCCCTCTTTAAAGCATGTGGAGGTATGTCTTGGCAGCTAGGAAAACAGGAGGTTCAGCCCCACTTCAGGGCAGAAGAGCACGAAGTGGTGAAGGAAGCTTGGGGCTTGTTCTTTTGAGTGTTGACCCTCCTTTTACTTTATGTGCTACAAGGTAATCTCAAGGAACAGCAGAAGAGAAGTTTGTGAGTTGAGGGAGATGGTGGATGTGGCAAATTTAGGGTGCTGATGTCACTGCAGCCATGAACCTGGTACTATTGGCAGCTCAGGAGCTCTGCTGTAGGGTTGCTGTGGTTCATTGCTAATGGACATGCAGAGATGCAGCAGAAAATGCGTAGGTATAAAGACAAGATCCTTCTGCCATCACTATGGTTTTGCAGAGGTTCCTGCACCATGAGGTTTTCTATCTGTGCTCAGCCTCACCCCACTGGGATGGTGGTAGGGTGGCAGGGCAGTACAACACAAGGACACCTGCCTGCTTTTTGTTGTTGCAAACAGGTAACAGCAACAGCTTTTACAGGCATGAAAGGTGTGGTCAAAGACCTGTTTGTCACAGGGAGAATGTGGCTGCTGGAGCCCTTCATGCTCCATGCCCTGCGTGGGTGGCCCTGGGCAGACACAGGAGGCACACAGGTCTTTGTGCTTGTGAACCTGGGAGCACAAGCAGGCAAAATAAGCTTCTGTAAACATTTTATGAATAAATAAACCTCCCTCTTCTGTAAGATCACCTGCTGGGCTTCACTGCACTGGTTTCACAGGCATCACATGAGCAGGAAGAGCCAACTGTGCCAGGAGTTGTATTTTTCACATTGCCAAGTGCCCCTGGAGCACACCCACCGCAGGCTCCGGTGCAGGGGCCAGAGCTGCCGCCCGCGCCCCAGCCCCAGGGAACCCAAACCAGTGCTGCCAGCGTATGCTGACTCCAGTCCCACGATGGAGTGCCGGAGCTGGCAAACTGGAGCTGAACTGCTGCTGGTTCCTCCATTAGGAAGACTTCCTGACTTCTGTTTAATCCCTGGTTTACTAATGGCACTCACCTCTTTGATCAGACTCGCGCTGATTTCCATTAAGGTTGAGCAAGAACCCAGCGAGAGAGAGGAAAGGCTGTATCAGGAGGAGCCAGCTGCTGTGCCCCGAAGGGTTTCTTCACCCTTGTGACCAAAATCTATAATCACAGGTGAAGCGTATTTATTCACAACCAAGCTGGAGAAAACCCAAGTAGTCCTTTGCTGGCAAAAAAAGCTCTGTCGAAATAAAAGCAGGCGGCACTGACTGCTCAGGGAGCTCCAGTTCTTCCCATCCCAAGCACTGGGGAGGGACCAGGCCCTTCCTACAAGAGAGCAAAGCCAAGAGAAGAGGAGAGCTGGCTTCACTTTTGGACAGCACTGTGGAGTGAGGGCCCGCTGGGGTGAGTAGCTACACCTGCGGCTGTCCCTAACGGCCTCTGCATGACTCTGACCCTGCCTGTCCATGTCTCCAGGGGGGAGATGGCTGCAGAAGATGACTCTCTAGGTGAAGAATGACTATAAGAGATTGGGACAATCAAATTATATGCAAAGTCAAGTTTCCAGAGTAATGAAAGCTGGGGTGGACTCTCAAGGGGAACAAGTGACACAAGTGTAATTTAGGTAGTTGTGAAAAAAGGGAGGGACCGATGGATTTACTAAATATTTGCAGAGCTACAGTAACAAACTCAGAGCTATTGTCAGATCACATGCCTGTAGGTAACAGAGGACAAATACCATCATTTAAATACCACATTAATATATGTGGTGTGCTAATGCCTTGATACACTCTCCCCAGTAAGCTATGTCAATAAAATCTAGGGACTATAAAAGGTGGCAGGAGTTAGATCAGAGGAGACCTAAGCAGTGGGAGAGAGAAAGCCACCCCGGATGGAGATGCTGTGGTGGGGGGTCAGCCCTATGTATAAGGCTGCGTGGCTGCCTTTGGCCAGCTTTACTGTAAACTTCTGCTTTGGAACCCAGCAACCTTAGAAACAAATGGAGTGCATGGCAGGGGCAGGCTCTTTATGTTGTGGAAATAATTAAAAGAATAAGTTGTCTGGCTAGCAACAAAGACATGCACCTCCTACTGTGGGTTGCTCTCATCAACAGCACCTGCAAAGCTCTTGAGATGTGTCTTCTCCTAAAGTGACCAACCTCTGAAAAGGTAGACATGGGGTACTATGAAATGATGTGCCTTGGGTGGGAGACGTGATACTTGTGTTGCTAGTCTAGAAGTCGGTGGGGTAGAAATAAGACATGGTGCAAAATGCAGTGGGGGTGTCCCCAGGGCCTTTACAGCCACCTGAGTAAATGAGAGAGACATGCTATGGTAGTGTTTTCACAGCTGCCATCCTGCCTAGCACCACTGATGATCCAGCAGCCCAGCTGCTTGCCAGGAAAGCAGCATGTGCTTTATTCTTTTAGTTGTGGCCAGGCAAATGCTTCAGCCCTCTGCAGGACTTGATTTTACTTTGCCACAGCCTGTGGTGGGGAAGTCAGTCAAGTCGCCAAAAGAAATGAGCTGGATGGGAAATATGGTTTTCTCCATCAAAATTCTTTTAGAAAAAAATGCTTTGGGAAATATTTTGCAGAAAAATAGGTTTTTCTTTTCCCTCCATGTAGCTGGGAACCAGTTGCTTTTCTTTTTAAATGAAACAGGTTAAAATGATCATAAACCAGAATTTTCCTTTTGAATATGCTGTCCAGTTGAAAATGCTGAGGAAAAAAAAAAAAAGGCATATTGTTCTGCATGTGCTTCTCTTCAAAGTTATCAGTTGGGTTAAAAGAAGGAAAGCATGATGTGAGAGTAATGTGGAAGGTGTTTTGAGAGTAAGCAGATCCAGAGGGTTTGTGCTGAAATTAGGTGGAGCTAACAGCTCGGGCTGGGAGGCCAAGGAAGGATAAGGGTCCTCAACATGCCCACAACCATTTTGCTTGTAATGCAGCAATCTGGGCAGGAGTTTGACCTGGAAATATTAGCATCTTTTTCACTAGAAATGTTTGAAATTTTCTCTGGTTTAGATCTGTAATTTTTTAAACTCTGAATTTGGATTGGTGATAGACTTAGTATTATCCTACCATAGTCATCTTGGCTATTTGCTTATCTGGGGAAAATATTCATCCCATGAATCATTTGAACATCAAACTAAAACATTCATGTTCAAGTCTTGCACGAGTAAAGAAATGCACTGCTTTTGCATGCTGCCTTGGGGCCGATTCCTCCCAGGTGACTTCTGCCTCACTGAGCATGGTGGGGGCAGTGACCACCGGGAGGAACATTGGACACCTGGAGGACACCTGGAGAGGTGCCCATTTACCACAGTGCTGGTGGTGGCTCTGACCCACTGCCTGGCTTGGACTCTGTCCCCATGGCAAGCCTGCCCTTGTCCCCACCTTGCCAGACCAGCTGCTGGGGGACCCGTCATCACCTCCCTCTGCTGGGCCGGGCGGTGTGGGAGCAGGCACTGGGCAGCTTCCACCTTAGCCTTCTACAGACCAAAAAATGGCAAACGCCAAAGAAGGGAAAAAAGTCTTGAAAGCCAAGCAAGATACTGCCATCCTGCAGCATCTGTGGCAATCGCCAGGCTCCCTGGCCAAAGCCCTTTCCTGGGCTTGCTGCGGGCAGCAGCTTGCAGCTCTTTGCCGAGGTGGGGCACTAGGAGTCAAGTCTTAATGATGTTAATGTGCTTTAATCACAAGAATATTTTTTTCCTTATCATTCAAATTTTGTACTACAAACCCTTCCCACACATCTTTCATTAACCTCCTCTTTTTATCACCCGAGACATTAATTTGCCTCTAAATTTGAGAAGATGGGGCTACCCCTTGGGGCAACCCAATGGTGCAATGTCTCTGTTTCCCTCTCCCGCTCTTGTGACACAAGAAAAACACTGAGCAAGGATTTTTCCCTGTCACGTGTTCTGCTGCTGGCACCACAAACCAGACCATTCAGAAGGGCTTTGGTCCATACTTCATCATTCATGTGACTGCTGACTGAACTGAGGGCGTGAGGGGCCACCTGCTCGGGGCAGATAACAGCAACTGGTGCCATTTTAATCGTCCCGAGAAGAGCAGCCGGTCTCATCGGACCCGTGTTGGGAAAGAGACACCAGCTCAGGTCTTGAGAGATTTCCCTCCGCAGGTGTGTTGATGTGATGAACTGCAGAGTTTTGCATAGGTGTCCTCCAGCTTGGTATAAATATTCATCTGTTTGACTGAGGGAAAAGGTTCTTAAAATTCCTTGGTTTACGCACATTAAAAGCTTTATCTGGCTGCCTGCTTATTCAAAGCTTCAGACTGAAATTGAAAATGGAATGATGTGTGCTTGCATGGGGGAGAGAGGGAGAGAAAAGGCAAAGGAACCTTTTAAAGCCAGTCTTTTTTATTATTTTTACTATTTTACCTGTAGAGCTACTGAAATGAGCAGTTTTTGTCTAGATCATTTGAAAAGGGATGTGGACTGAGGATTAGAAAGGCTGTTTTCAAATATTTGCCAGAAAGAGGGTTTAGTTTTTAGAGCAGACTGGAGGTTTTAACATTAGTTTTTCATTCCTAACAGGAAATTTTTCTTATAGGCTCCAAATTCTGGTAACTTTAAACAGTTTAACTTGGAAAATGTTCCAGTGCCACCCATCAGTCCCTTGGCCTCCATATGGGGTTTATGCATGAGCTCAGGAGCCTAGAATGTCAACAAAATGTTGCAGACAATATAGAGGCAGGGGGATACGTGATGGTTTTATCCTCAGGAATTTTGTTTGGGGAGAATACAGCAGGATTTGTTTCTTTCTGCTTGGAATTGCTCTTTTTTTTCCCCCGTGTGCCCATCTCTGACAGGGTGGTGCTGTGCCAAGCAGGGTGTGAGGTGCCACACAAGAAGGTGCCAGGCAGCAGGGGAGTGATGAAGCTGGTATGTTTTGAAAAAGGCTTTTTTGGGTCTTTTCCTCACTTTTCTTTCTGAGATGATGTATTCTGTGAAATGCTGTTGCTACATAGGTCCACAGAGTGCCAGCGGGGAGGGTGCAGCAGGAGGTGGATCACTGGTCATGAGAGGGGACCAGGGCTGCATCCCTGACAGCTTGTGGGAACTCTTTTGGAGAGCAGCACTGCCTTTTAGGGTTGGACAACCCTTCCTGTTAGAAGCATCTCTTTTCAGCTGCTTGTAAAAATTAGTGAAAATTCAACCAACAAGGCACAAATCTCTTCTGGCTGCCCTCTTCTTACAAAGGGTGAAAATTTGAGCCAAAATTTTCAGCCGTTTGAAAAACAAAAAAACCAAACCAAAACCCAACAACCCCCCAGCTGGCAGGACACATGGGAGCTGTTTCTTTGGTGAAGGGGAGAGATGCTGAGGCTGGAGATGCTGCTGGGGAAGGTGGACGTGCACTGAGGCTCTGTGGGAGTGGGCAGGTCTCTGCAGCATTGCAGCGGGGGCATGACAGGGGCAAGCAGGCAGCTGATGTGGGCAGGTTCATTTCTCCCTTGCTTTTGCCTTCTGAAACAACTTTAGCAAGGTTCGGTTGGGTCAACAAAAGAACCGATGGGACAAACACACACCAGCTGCTGCAGAAGTGGAGACCTGGTACCTCTGCGGGAGCCACGCTGATGCTGGGCTGCTGACAAACCCCGTTTTCCTAAGGGGGTGAGAGCAGCTCTGTGTTTCCCAGACCACAATACAGTAAAGTCAGCATTGTGTCTCCAAGCCTCGGGTCCCAAATATGTCAGCCACATGACACAAAACTTTAACCCAAGAGAAATGCACTCCTCCAGCTTGAGCATGGCTTCTCAGGTTTGAGGAGGTTTTACTGGAGTCTTGCTGTGTATCCTCGTATACACTTTGGACTGATGCAGTTTGCCTGCATGGAGCAGCTTGTGGCCATTTGATAAATGGGTTGCTTGGACCTTCCCTTGGTTTCATCACTCCTCTTCATGTATGCCTGAGGCTGGGGAGCAGGAAAGATCCAGGGTCCAGCCCTGGTGTTTCTACTCACTGTGATTACAGGCTCTTCCCATGTATTTTGAAGTGCATTAGTGCTAATTAATTATCTGTAAACCTTATCACCAGCACACCTACTAGGAAACAATGCCTGCTTGAAGACAGTAATCCAGAGGAATCCGTGTTATGACAGGGACTGGCTGCCTCCCAAGAAATATCTCTCCAATCTGTGGAAAAAAATGTGCTGATGCTGGTGGGTGCAGCAGTGGTGGTGGCTCCACTAGTGGTGACTGAGGCAGCGAGTGGGCCCCTTTCTTTTGTAAGGCCTGAACAGTGGAGGCTAATGCTCACAACCCACATGGCAGCAGGAGCAGGGCAGGCCCAGGAGCCAAGCTACCTGTTTTGGAGGGCATCGACTGGCTTTGAAGGACTTGGGCACCCTGTGGCAGAGTGGTGGCAGAGTGGCTGGTGTCCCCATGGGTAGCTTGCTGCAGTGGGGATGGGGGGATGGGGCAGCCAAGGCATGAACATCCTCTGGCAGGAGTAGGTGCCTGGGACAGGAGCTTCACAGGCAGCTTTGCCCCAGAGCAGCAGCTGGGGTAATTACATCCCAGAGCCTGCCACAGGCTGAAATTCAGTCTGCAGCAGAGGTTAGAGCTGTGCCTAGGGTGGTGAGAGGGCCAGTGAAGATGAAGTGCTTGAAGGGAAAACAAAGCAGCAGGATTTCAAAGGCAGGAGCCTTCCCAGGTGTGTTCACACTGGCTTGGTGTGGGAACAGGCACTTGGTCTGCAGTGACCTCAGTGGCAAACTGCAGTCGGTATCATGAGTGTGTGTAAGTCTTCCCAGGGAGCAAGTCAGCCCATCTGCATTAACAAGGCAGAGCCTTGTTTTTCCACAAAAAAAGCTTCTGACTCATCAGTGCTGATGCCTGCTGGTCCCTCCCCATGGCCTGGGGAACCCTTGGGATCACTGATGCCCAGCAGACAACCTGGTCCCAGCTCGGGGCTGTGTCCCCAGCACTCCTTGCCTCGAGGCAAGTGCCTTATCAGCAGCTCTGGTTTAAAGTCTCTTACCTGGGAAAGGTTTGCTAAGGAGAAGCCTTCCTGCCTCAGGCTCCGTTCCAGCCATGAGGCCATGGAAACATCACAGGAACCTCCTAGATTACTCTGTCACATGGAATTTGGAGGGTTTTGCCATTTACAAACTCTGCTTTTAAGCATCGTAGGCATGAAAAATCCACACAACAAGAGCTTTTCATTGAGTTTGTTATCACCTCTCTTCTCCCCAGACCATGTCCTCCTCCATCAGAATTGAATCTGTCGTGAAGGAGAAGAGCAGGATGGGGGAGTGCCCTGTCTGGGAAGAAAGGGAGAGCGCACTCGTCTACGTAGACATCAACTCACAGAAAGTGTGCCGCTGGAGCCCGCTCACCAAGGAGGTGCAGAGCGTGCCTGTGGGTAAGAGTCGTGCTCACCGCTTCCTCCTGGCACCATTCTCTCTCTGCCCCTGCCCATCCCTCCTTGCAAGAGTCCTGCAGCGTGGTGGTCTCCCTTCATTCCCATGGGGCCCCACACCCTGTCCTTCCACGACAAGTTGCTGAGCACAGAGTGGCCCGAGCTGGCTGAGCAGAGGGGACCGTGCTCAGGTTAGGGAGGGCCTTGTACTTATTACCCTTGCTGAGCCCAAATGGGAAGGTATGTGTCATCTGGGACCTGCAGAGGAAATTGTGCACTCCTAATGGCTGTGTCTGCTCAGAAGGTGGAAAGATCTGGAAAATACAGAGCCAGCAGGATGTGCTAATGGGAGAAGGATATTAGCATCAGCTCAGCCTTTCCCAGGTCAGGGATGTCCCAGTCGAGCCCAGATGCCCTTGGTGAGGTGGGGAAGGGTAGGGCTGGCTGCTGGCCCCAGAAGTGCCCAGCATCTCCCACTCCCTCTCACCCCCAGATGCCCGCGTGGGCGCGGTGGCGCTGCGGCAGCGCGGGGGCTACGTCATCGCCCTGGGGACCAGGTTCGCCCTGCTGGACTGGGACACCCAGGCAGTCACCACCGTCCTCGAACTCGAGCAGGACAAACCCAACAACAGGTTCAATGATGGGAAAGTGGATCCAAAGGGGAATTTTTTTGCTGGTAAGTTCCTGTCAGAAATTTCCCCTGGAGCAAAGAGGAACTAATTACAGTGTATTCTATCTAGTGCATTGTATTCCATGTTCTCAATTCCTCTGCTTAGTTTCCCCCCCAATACTGCCATCACAAGTGTGAGCCATCTTGTGAACACTGCTTGGTTACTGCCTGATGGATGAGGACAAGGGACACTTTGTCCTCTGACCTAAATGAGGACAGAGGCTTTGAGAAGGGCTGTCTGGCAGGGAGCCTCCCCTTCTACTTGACAGATGCTGTTTTCTAAATGTCTGCCTCTACAGGAAGTGAAAAGCCACTGATGGGCTCATGCAGGTGGCAAAGTTTCTGGAGGTGTAGAGGAGGATGGAGATCCTAGAGCAGAAGATGAGCTGCAGCTTGCACCCTTCATGTATAGCATCCCCCACTTAGCCTGTGGGAAACAGGGATGTGGGAAGAGATCTTCAGCCTCCTAAACACAAGATGGACTTTTGCCAGTGGTTGCAATGCACCCAGGAATCAGAATCATAGAGTGGTTTGGGTTGGAAGGGACCTTAAAGATTATCTAGTTCCAACCACCCCTGCCATGGGCAGGGACACCTCCTGCTAGACCTGGTTGCTCAAAGCCCCACCCAGCCTGGTCTTGAACACATCCAGTGATGGAACATCCACAGCTTCCCTGGGCAACAGGTTCCCCCTGTGCTTTTTCTCCTCCCATGTAAATGATGAGCCAGGCACAGCAATCTAGGCTAGAAGAGAAGGGCAATGGATGGGAGTGAAAGTGGTTCTGTATTTGTTTTTCCAGCAAGCCTTTTCTTATTATTTCAGATTTGCCAAAAATCAGAAAATCTGTTTGACTTGTGGTTATGCTTGAGGACTGATGTGTCACTAGATTTAAGGGCAAGAACAAGAGAGAAAAACTTGCTTTGCACACCTGTTCCTAGTTGTGCATGGTGGGTCAATGCTTTCAACAGGGGTTTTGCCCAAGTGTTGTAAAACAAGCTCAGGAAGTCTTCTAAAAGGGGAGGCCAACAGATACAGCATGTCACAGTTAAAAGAAGGGTAAATCCCCTCCTCTGGTGCTTCCCATCCTGTTGCTGCAGAGCTCTCTTTCCAGAGAAGAAAGAATCAGAAATTGAATAACCAATGTAACACTGAGACAAACTCATTAAGAAAAAAATCTCACTTCTGTGGCATTCTCTGCCTGCTTCTGAGCCAACTGTGATTTACTCACCCGTGTTTTAAGGTCACAGCCTATTTAATGATGGCAGCAGCCTACAAAGAGTGACAACAAAAGGAACACGATGCTTGCCTGCACCTTGGCTTTTGCTGTGAGCAAAACCTCAGTCCCTGGCTCACTGTGGTGCTCCTTTGTATCTTTGGTGTCTGTCACTTAAACCTCATGGCAATGCAGAAACCCATCTTTCCTTGGCCAGGGTCACCTCTGTGGGAGGCAGTGGCTCATTACCTGCTCCTTTTCCTCCTTCTCAGCAATCTAGTGGGAGCTGGTTCCTCCCTTTGTCCTAGGACCTCTTGGTAGCACTTAGAGGAGGTTTTTGATGAAGCGTAAGGAACAAGCTTCCACATTCTAACCGGCACCCCCCTCTCCATTGCAGGAACAATGGCTGAAGAGACAGCACCGGGGGTCCGCGCGAGGCAGCAGGGCGCTCTCTACACCCTCTTCCCTGACTACTCAGTAATAAAACAGTTAGACCAGGTGGACATCTCCAACGGTCTGGATTGGTCCCTGGACCACAGAACCTTCTTTCATATCGACAGCCTGGCATACGCTGTGCACGCCTTCAGCTACGATGTGCACACCGGCAAGATCGGTACGTGTGCTCTTCCAAAGGCAGCGACACGCCGTGCTCCTACTGCTTCTGCAGCAAGCCCTGGGCGTGTCAGGTGCGCAGAGTTATTTGACAGGTCTCATACCTTCTGGTTACAGCTCGTCAGCGGGCTGACAGGTCATTTTTTTTCTCAAATTTAGTTACATACCAAGTATATTTGGTGAAAAAATTTTCGACAGCCCTTCAACTTTCTTTCATCTGGAAAGATGGCTCCTATTCAGACCTGTTCAAGGAGTTGCTAGGAAGAGGCAATTTACACTGCAGTGAGAAGTAGCTTATAGGATGCGATCTATTCTCGAGTGCCACCTACCGGAATGCTTCAGCTGTACTAGCTCCGTAAACACAAATACAGAACGTGCATCCCTGTACAGCACAGAAATGTATTTAAAGAATCAAGTTATTATTGTGAATGGGGTTTCCCAACTCTGAAATTAAAATTGCCTTCAGATGTTTGGCAAATTTCACTCAAATTAATTTTCTGGACAAAGATTTCTTTATTATATCTGGGAAAAGGGAAATTTAAGGGCAAGCCAAAGGGATGTAACTTCATTTTAAAACTGTAAAATATTTTTGTGCTGTATCAACCTGTTATACTCCATGGGAATTTAAATGTCTGAACTGCCTTTGTATTCTAATGAGTGTGGGCTTTGTGTAATCGTGGGTGAAAATTGTACAAAATAATTACATTCGCTCAGATTTCATTTTGCTAAGAAAATCTATTTCTACAGATTTTAGGATATAAGATTTCTAAAGAAGATTTCATGCAACTTTCCCCCCCCTAGTTCAAATGTGTAAGGAGTCTGAGCTTCCTAACCCTGGCTTTTTGCTGATATCCGTCAATTTTTGGGTGGTTTAATGGCCATGAGGTGCAGGATCAGAGCAGGCAAACTGCTGCCCATGGGCACTGCTCTATGGACTGCTCACGTGCCCACCAACCCATCTGCACTGCAGCCTAGACTTCTAGCAGCTGGCATCTGAACTTAATCAAAACTAGTAGCTTGATTTGGCCATTAAAGCAATAAAGTTCTTGATCTTTAGCTGGTAGAGATTGCTTGTCACCACCATTTGAATGCAAGATGCTACTTCTGTGATGCATTGCTCATAAAATGATATCCAGGCTGCCATGGGCAGTGAAAGTCCAGGAAAAGTTATTGCACTTGTAGCAATCAGAGTGTGGTGGACAGCTCATGAGTAAGCAAGAGGGACAGGGGCATTTTGTTCTCCTCCCTTGGTAAAAGTCCTAATTCAGTACAATCCTAACCTGCAGTGGCTTTACTGGGAGCTTATTTCTGTCAGCTTACCTGTTTGCATGAGTGTGGAAGGTGTTAGGCTGGGCTGTGATGCAGAACGGGTATCAGCCCACATAACACCAGCTTCGTAACTCTCCCTGCAGACCAGCCCAAACTTCTGTACCATCTAGAAAAGGAGGAGCAGATGCCTGATGGGATGTGCATAGATGCAGAAGGGAAGCTCTGGGTGGCCTGTATCGATGGTGGGAGAGTCATTCGTATAGACCCAGAGACAGGTAAGACCTGCACCAGCATGTGCATATTGAGCGTCACCTACGTGCCCTGAATGTGAGAGGAAAGGCAGCCAGGAGGAATGGTTTGAGGGTGAGCTAAGAAGGTGTCATTTATTGCCTCTTTCTACCCCGTGGTTTGTCATGAGAATCACTGGTCCAGACTTTGATCCTGTGCAGAGTGCAGCTCCCTGTGCTGCCTCCTGACATCGGGTACCCCCTGCTCCCATGGTCTGCTGATGCAGCACATCCGCTTCTTAACTGTGCCACTGAGAAAAGCCAACCAAAGACCACTGCATGTCTATTGTGAGAAATATTATAAACTTGCAATTAAAATGAAACTGTTCTCAGTGCTGAAATGTTTAGCTGAGAAACGCTGTCAGGGAATGACAGCCATCCCAGCCCAGGTGTCTCTGCCCTTCCTGGCTTCACATGCTGTATTGCATCATTTTGGGAAAAGGAAACAAAGCCTCACAGATAGAGGGGAGAGGCTGAAAAATGATTAGAGGTGAGGCAGATGAGAGAATTGGATTTCCCCACAAAGTGCCTTTTAGGGTGTGGCCTCTGTCTGAAGGGGCCTTCTGAGTAAATCCACATCTGTGCCATAGGCACTAATAGTGCATCCATATTTATGTGCTTCCTAGAAAATGGACATTAGGAAACAATTGCACATTTTTCCCAGGAAAAAGAATCCAAACTGTGAGACTGCCTACCCCGAGGATCACCTCCTGCTGCTTCGGTGGAAGAGACTACTCAGAGATGTACGTGACGTCTGCATACGATGGGCTGGATGAGACCACCTTAGCCAAGGAGCCTCATGCAGGAGAGATTTTCAAGGTGAGCAGATCTTCTTTCTTTCTTGCTAAGCACCAGAACAGCCAAGCCTCGTGCTCTGAGAGTGAGGTGCCCTTGGCTGCCCTGGCTCCTCCTGCTCACCTGGTCTGCTGGTCCTGATGCGCTGCCTGTCCCCCAGCCGGGCACAGCTGCCTCTGCACAGCTGCTCGTGCCTTTAGAAGGAAGACTTGGAGAAATTGCCAGCAACAGTGTTGATATGTTGGTTAGCCACAGTCAACATCTGTTTGGGATCTGAAAGCAGGCAGTGGATCTGGATCTGCCCTTTTATAGCATATTCTGTAATAGACTGTAAGGAATTTGATCTTGCTCTTATCTCTTCCTATACTTTCATCGGTTTGGGGAATTTCACTCCCTTAATGTTCAGTATTCAGCTGTACCAGGAAATCTAAATATTTACAGCACAGATCGCTCTTTTAAAAAATAAATGCTTGAATTCACCAAGGCAAAATTTTGCAGCCCAGTCCAAAAACTTTTGGGATTCTATTACCCTGTTAAAAGTGGTTGCTACGTTTTGAGAAACCTATAACCCACATTTTTATCCAGGGCTCTTGAATCCAGAACTTGTTTCTCTCATCCAATTCATTAGCAAAAAGTACATTAGGAGAATAAAATGCAGTTCTTAATTAGGAATTACCATCATTCTCTGAAATCTGACCACAGAATGAAAGGGAAGGGTTGTAAGAGAAGGGTAATTTAAAAAGCAAAAAAGGCCCCAAACCAAACTCTATTATTTGGCAATAGGATGAAGACATGTTCCAGGAGGGATGGAGATCTAATTTGGGATCTGGGACCTTCCAGTTGAAAGCTGTGCTTGGAGAAGATTTCTTATGGCTGAGAGCTGACAGATTTCTAAAGCAGTAGAGTTTAGGAGCCCACAGGAGAATCAAATGAGCCTTGTCTTTTTAATTTCTGTTTCTTGGTTCTCCACTTCTAGAACAGAATTGGTATTTTCCAAACTCATATTTATCTTGCATGAGGAAAACATCTTAAAAGTTACCAGGACTTTTTCTGGTTAATATGGAGATGAGGATCACATGTAAGTGCCACAGATAATGTGCAAGTTAGCAAAAATATTGAGTGGTGCTTCATAATTTTAGAGATCGTATTCTTAAAGCGTTCTGAAGAACTCCATGTAATGACTCTTTGGGCTCCTCTTGAAGCAGAGGACTCTTCACGTAGGGGTGGGTTGCTATGCTATTTGTTGTACAACCTTCAAATGTTTTCATTGTACTCAGTTGGAGATTTATCTGTTTCTTTCTTTCTTTTTTTTTTTTTTTTTTAACAGATAACAGGCTTGGGTGTGAAAGGGATCCCACAGAACTTCTATGCTGCTTGAACTCTGATGCTAAATGGCAAGAAATAGTTGCATCTTGGAGCAAGTCTGACAAGAAGTTCAATGAACTGTAGAACTTACTTGTGTGAGGATTTCGAAACCTACATTTGAGAGTGTGCTTGTTTGGAATTGAAGATGTTCCTTCTTCTGTGGGCCTGTGGCTTGATGCAATAGGTTAGAGAGGTCAAGTTAATTTGTGTTACATCTTGATAGCTTTTGTGACTTTCCATAAACCTCTTCAAGCTCAAGCCTGTGTTGAACTTTCTGATGACCAGCTCCGGATTTTCAAGTCTGTGTGGTTCCCGAAGCAGAATCTGACTTCTGGTTTGTCTTTTCATGTTACAGTGATGTACCAGCAATGAAATGGCAGACTTTAATAAACACTTTCAGGGTGATGGCTTATTGTGGGAGACTATCCTCTGCTGTGGGATTCCCCCTGGGGTGTTTTCTTGGTGATCAGACCTATTTGTAGTATCCAGACTATATTTTTACATCCTTACTAGCCTGGTTCTTTTTGCCTTGTCATGAATTCTGTTTTATCTTTAGGACACTGTTTATGTTGTTGAAAATAAGCTATGTAACAATATTTAAAATATACTTATGGATTTTTTTCCCCTGCATTCAGATATTACCATGAAAATGCTGAGTGACCACACAGAGTCAAGGCACAAACAGGCTGTGAGCTGGGTGCTCCATAGAGCCAGCCTGTCAGGGGCCATATTTGCACCCATGCACATGGACATCCCTTTGGTTTACATGTCTTCTTATCGCACGCATGGCTTCACCTTCTTATTCTCCTTCTTATAATGCTTTCCCTCTCCTTTTTCAAGTCTTTTCCTTCTTTTTCCCTTTTTCCTTTAGATTTTCTTCTCTTGTCTTCCCCCTGAACTTCTATCACTACTTAGAACAATCCCATTTTTTTGTAGGCTTTCTTCTGTCTCTTTGTGGTACATATTGCTCAGCAGTGAGTTTGAAGTCCTTGTCCTTGCCTTCAATACTGTAGATATCTGCCCAGGTTTCTCATTGCATTACCCTCATGTATTCTTTCTTCTCCGGGAGGGTAAATCTGCTCTATTGACACTTCTCCCTTTGCCCAAACTGTGCAAGGTTTTCTTCCACATCAATGGAAGGAACAGGAGGTTCCTCAAAGGAGGAGATTCCTCAAAGGAACATGAGGATCAAAGCTGATTCTTGAATTTGGGGCTTCCCCAAAGGCCTCAGCATACCTGTAGTGAGCCAGGTCTTCTCCAAAAGCTGGTCAAACTGAATGAGTGAGGAGTGGAAGTGGAAAAGTTGCTCACCTTTTCCCAGTGCTTCTACTGCATGGTTTACAGAGGGGGCAGAAATAGCATCTTTCATGTATGTCAATGTAAGTAAATGAAATGCTGGAAAATGCTGGCAGATGAGCCTATGTAAAAACAGAGTGTTGTGCTGGGATCTTTGTTTCCTGTCTTTGTGCAAACTTGGGCCCAAACAAGGCTATCTTTGTCTCCTACAACTCCATTTGCCAGTGATCAGGAGATGATTACACCACAGTGCTGCAGAGATGCACAATGTATATTGTAGGTATATTTTTAGAGACTATTTAAATAATGACCCAACACTATGCTGGATTCACTGAACCATTGTGATCCTTTCATTATTTGAGATGCTTGAGACCTGTAGATATCTAATGAAATCTAGCCTTTGCAGTGAATTTACTCTCTTTTTACTGCCCAGGGAGATATACAGTACACAATTTTCAGATCCTTAATGCTGACACTTTGTGATGTTGCAAAGAAGTCAATAATTCTCATAACTTACCAGGCCAAATGTTTCAGTGTCTTTCTCTGAGGTATTTGGCCTTTCCACCACTGCTGTTCAAAGCCTTGAGTTAACCCTCAAGCACTATGAGCAGGGAGTAAGCACTTGATGCCTTACGAGGATAGTCTCCCACAATAACCCATGCATGGAGGAGCAGGGAAACTGTGGTTAGCCACACAGATATGTTGAACACAGTTTCCATGGGGCTGTATGCAGATTGTCCCTAGAATTAGCTGTTTTCTCCAGAACCAGCATCTCTCTTCTGTCCAAAGGTCCCTCATAGCAGTTTTGAAAGAACCAAGCTGGGTTGATTTCTTCCTTTTAAAATATCCATAACACCCAACTGTCTCATGTGGTAGCCTTCTGGCCTGCTGGCAAGCAGATCTAGTTCTGAGCTCTGAGCAGGCAGGGAGCTGATCAAACCACACGTCCCAGGGCAATATCCTACTCATTTGGAAGGGGGGTGTGACACGGGGAAGGTCAGGTGGTATATCTAGCCCCTCCAGCTGAACTGGGCCACAGCTCAGAAAGAAATTTGAGATCCAGAGGGCCAAGAAGGGAGTTCTATTTACTAAACTGGCCATCGAGCAGGATTTTCCAAAGTGCACAGTTTCAGTAGTTTCCTGAAGTCTACTGTAAAACCAGGCTGGGTAATTCTCAGACATTTATTCTAGATGATTACTTTAGGTCACTATCAAACACTTTGCTTGTGTGCTACTTCACCAGATAATTTTAAAACCAGGATAATCTCGTGGTCCATTGATCTGCTTTGCTCCTACCTTGGCTTGGAAGGGAGGTGAGCCCATAAAGCTGTACAAACAAAATTTGATTGAGAAATAAAAATGTTCAGCTCATTCTAATGTTTGCTCAACAACTGGGCTGTTCTTTTATTCCCTAGTCATAATTCCAATACTAATTAAGCTGTTGGGGGTTCTTAAAAGCCAAGGTGTTAAATGCCCTTTGGCACCGTGTCAGTGCCAAACTGGTACAAGGAACATGGACAATTATGCAAGATTTCCTGTTTACCCCATCTGGAGAGGAGCGTGAAGGCAGGATGTTTGGAGGCAAGTCAAGTGTCCCAATCTTTGATTAAAAAAAAAGATAGAAGGTGTGTGCAGATAGCTTGAATAATAAAAAAATACCCAATTATTTGCAAAATAGGCTATTTGCTCTGCCAGAAAAGGAAGGTAGATAGTTTTGAAACAATTTACTCTTGAAAAATCCTTAATAGCCTCACTTTTTTTTTTTCTTTTTTTTTTTTTTTATTAGATCTTCCCCAGGCATGCAAGCCAGGCTCACTGCTTTGCAATTCTCCAGCCACTCCTTCCTCCAGCTCTAAAGGGAGACACTGTGTGTACTGCTCTCAGGCTCCAAGGTCCAAGTGCTTTGGGATCTCTCTTGTTGTGGCATGGCTTCCCAAATTAAAGAAAGATTTGCAGACAAATTTCTCTCTGTTACCCAAGGACCCACCACTTCAATTCTCTTCAGATTTCAGAAGCTGCTCTTTTGTGATTTTTCTTCCTAAAAAAGTGTTTGTTGAAAACCACGGTGGGGTTGTTCCAGCCTCATTAGTCAAAGTGAGGTAAAGTCCTTTGCCCTGAGCAGGACGAAGGACTGAGTTCATGCCCTGTGTGCATGTAGGGAACAGTACAGTATCTCTAGCCCTTGATGAGGATATACCCTCAGATGGTTACTGGGGAACTGTGTGTGGTTGGTGTGGGTCAGCCCCACGGTGAGAAGCACGGCATGGAGGATGCTGTCTGCCCACGAGTAACCTGCTGATGTAGTGTCTCCCCAATGAGGGCAGAACATAAAACAGCTTGTCAACAAGACAGCAGTAACTGATGGGGACTGGCTGCCCTGGTAAAGGATTGTTCTGTACATCCTGCTTTTTATAAGCTTTTCTAAGTATTTACTATGTGTAATGTATACTTAACCTATACCAGGCTAGATAAATCTTACTTCTCTGGAATGCTTTTTTGTGTGTTGGGAACAAGCTTCCAAATGGGAAGATTTTGGTCTTTGTATCTTCTAGCCCTTGTAGCACAATCTGACTGCATTTTTGTGCTTTCATGAAAAGATGTCTTTGAGAAAACCCAGAAAATCTAAACTGAGAGTCTCCGGATAGTCCTAAGTGCAGCTAGGATGTGAGTGAAGCTGGTTAAACATCACAGCTGTGCTGGCATTGCTGCTGCACCCACACGCTCTCACAGGCCTAGAATTGACCAATAGAGGGATGCAGAGTTTGCTTCACTGGCTTTTACTGTTGTGCCTCGGACTCTGGGCAGGAAAGAAGATGTAAAAATACTTCTTAATCCTGGATAAGGAGAAACAATATCTTTTTTTTTAGCAATCTGTGTGGACCTGTTCCTTGTTCTGATTATCTTCTTGATCGCAAAGACAAATGGTAAAGATGGTCTCTTTGCTAATGAGAGGGGACAGATACAAACTAGCTGACTTTAAATAAAAAGTTCACAAGTGTTACCTGGTGTGGATGAATAGGTCTCTGGCAGAACAAAGGGGCAGCTGCCCTGCTGAAATGACTTGGCTTTCCATAGTTTGTTTATTTTACTTTGACCCTGTCATGCTCCATCCTCACATCAGCATCAAACTTACAAACATAACTTTGAATTCAGATCTTTCCTACCTTTTTGCTCTTATCTCTCGGTGTCAGTGTGGACTGAGATTTCAGAGGGTTATAACACATGGTCTACGAAGGAGAGACTTTGAACCTCTATTCATATGAAAATATTTTTGGAAAATGAGAAGCCATTTAGCCTTATGAACTATTAACAGGACTACTGGATGACCTGCAGTGTGACTGTGGTTAGTAGATGAGGCTGACTGGGAAAATTGCTGCAGAGGCATGAGACAGCTCCTCGGAAGCTGTATGAGCAGGAATTGGGTGTCCACAAAAGAATGACTGAAGGGCAGAAATAGCTGTAGATTAATTTATTTTACCTAAGATTTTATATTGCTTGAGCTGCTTAAAGTAATGGTTTATTGAGTTTGTTTGTGCTATTTATTTCAGTATTGACAACCAGAAAGTCAAAGAAACAGTTGGTGTTGATGTCAGGTTCTCCTCCTGCACCAAAATAAGACTCATGCAGGCTGTAAATGCAAGCAGTTACAAGGTCTGAAGAGATTTAAGACCTTCAGCCTCATCAGCTGCTGTATTCATAAAGAAGAAAGTGTTCAACTCTGTGTTTAGCAGTATCCAAGTCACGTTAGGGAAGAGAGGATATGGGTGAATACCCTGTCAAGACTGTGGTATCCTCTGCAAAGAGGTGATATCACAACATTGATACACTGGAAGGATTTTAAGATGATGGAAAAGAGGAAGAGCTATCAGAGGTGGGACTTAACACAGAATCTGAGGTGATGACAAAGAGAAATGTGAAGGCACAGAGAGGGGAAGGAGATGTTGCCAGCATGTGTGGGAAAAGATAAGTGACAGGAAGGTGGGCTCCATAATTTGAAAGTAAAGCCTGGACTGGAAAAATCATACCTGAACAGGCAGAACTTGGAGGAAACTGAAGATGCTTGCTCCATTTCCTTGCCTACTGATAGTTTCTTGTATCCAAAGGGAGATGGTGGT